TTTCTGTGACATCAGTTTTAATATCCTCTCTTTCAACCCTAATTTTAGTTATTTGAGTATTTTTTTCCCTTAGTTTAGCTAAGGGTTTGTTGAGTTGGTTGGTCTTTTCAAAAGTCCAACTCTTTGTTTTCTGTCTCAGTCTGTTTGGGCTGGTATAACAAAATGCCACAGACTGGGTGTAAACGACAGAAATTTATTTCTCGTAGTTTTGGAAGCGTAGAAGTCTGTGATCAAGGTGCCAGGAGGGTCACATTCAGATGAAAGTTCTCTTCCTGGTTCATAGCTGACATCTTCTTGCTGTGTCCTCAGGGATCTCTTTGGAGAGATACCCCACTCCTCCCATTCCCGAGGGCTCCACCTTCCTGACTTAAGCACCCAACACCATCATCTTTGGGGGTTTGATTTCAACATAAAAGTTTCAGGAGGACACAGATATTCAGCCCATAGCAGTTTTGCTGATTTTTTTTCTGTTTTTCTAGTGTCTACATGTATTTCCCTTCTAATCTGTATTATTTCCTTCCTCTACTAACTTTGGTTTTAGTTTGTTTTCCTAGTCTTTTGAAGTGTAGTTAGGTTATTGCTTTGAGATCTTTCTATTTTTTAAGTGTAAGGGTTTACTGCTATAAACCTCCCTTTTAGTACTGCTTTTCCTACATCCCGTAAGTTTTGATATATTCTGTTTTCATTTTCAGTCATGTCTGGATATTTTCTTAATTGCCGCGTGACTTCTTTTTTGATCTGCTTGTTGTTTAAGAACATGTTGTTTAATTAACACATGTTTTTGGAGTTTCTTCTTTCTGATCAGAGAAGATATTTTGTATGATTTCAATATTCTGAAAATATAAGACTCCTTTTTGTGGCCTAACGTACAGTATCTTTTGGAGAACATTTCATATGCATTTGTGAAGAGTGTGTATTCTGTTGTTGTTGAGTGGGAGAAAGGTTTTTTTTTTCTTTCCTGTATTTACCTATATTTTACTAGCTGTTGCTCTTTATATTTTTGGTGTAGATTTATGTTTCCTTTTGGCATCAATTTTCTTTAGCCTAAAACACTGTTTTTAATCATTTATTGAATTCTCTCACACTTTCATTTGAGAAATTTTTGTATTTACCTTTCATTTATTGAGGATATTTTCATTTGATTATTTTCTTTTAGCACTTTAGAGGTGTTTGTCTCTCATTGTCTTTTGGCCTGCTTAGTGTCTGATAAGAAGTCTACAGTTGTCCTTGTTTTTGTTTTGATATAAGTAATAGCGTTTTTTTCCTGTGACTACTTAGTATTCTCTCCTTCTTACTGGCATTCAGCAATTTAATTATAATATATCTTTGTGTGTGTGTATTTACCTTTAGATTTGTTGAGTTTCCTGCATGTGTAGGTTTATTGTTTTCATAAAACTTGCAAAATGGCCATTATCTTCCCCCTTCTCTCTATCTATCTGTCATTTATATTTCCATCTGGCTGCCTATCTGTTAATCTATATCCGTATCTGTCTCTATGTCCTTCATTTTTATGTGGGGTTCAGGTTTTTGTTTTAAACATTTTTTCAAGTTATTCATGTTTTGCTACATTGTCTAATCTGCTCAAATACCTATGCAGTGAAAATTTTATTTCAGGTACTTTGTTCTATCCTCTCTAAAATTTCCATTTATGTTTTTTTTCTTCCTGCCATTTTCTTTACATCTGTGAACACATGGGACATATTCATAATTGGCTTTTATAAGACATAGGTGACCCTCCCACAACGTGGGTTTGAACTGTGTGGGTGCGCTTGCCTGCACATTGTGTCCATTCTGTGTATAACTGGACCCATGCAGTTCAAGACGGTGTTGTTCAGGGTCAGCCATATCTGTGATAAGAAGCTGGGCATCTGCATGTGTGGAGGTCTGACTTATTGGAGGATTTTCGTGAGTCAACTGTGTTTTTCTCCATTGCTGCCATTTCTGTGTGTTTTTTAATTGACTAATTTTTCTCCTCTTTATGAGTCATAGTTCCTGATTTCAAATGTTTAGTAATTTTTTATTGAATTCTTGAAATCGTAAGTTTTACATTGCTGGATGTTGGATGTTGTTTTAGTTAAGAAGTTAAGGCTTCTGGTAGGCAGTTAAGTTACCTTGTATATTGGCTCATTATTTTTGAGGCTTGTGTTTAAGCTCCTTTTGGGAGAATTGAGAGTAGCCTTTGTGTTTTGGTAACGCTGTCTGCTTTCTGAAATAAGGCCATTCTGGGATCACTACTGACTGACCCTTGTAAGAGTTCTTTCAGCTTATGCTGGTAGGAAAGACCCTCAGCCTTGTGTAATCTCTGGGAGTTGTTCTGTTACAGCTAGCTGGTCATTGTTCTCCTTCAGGAAGTTGATTTTATTGGGCTTTTGTAGAGTGGTTTTTTTAAAAAATATATTTTATTTATGTATTTTTAGAGAGAGGGGAAGGGAAGGAGAAAGTGGGAGAGAAACATCAATGTGTGGTTGCCTCTCATGTGTCCCCGACTGGGGACCTGGCCTGCAACCCAGGCATGTGCCCTGACTGGAAATCGAACCAGTGACCCTTTGCTTCACAGGCCCACACTCAGTCCACTGAGCTACACCAGCCAGGGCAAGTGTTTTATTTTTTAAGCATGTACAGATTGGCATTTAGCTAAATAGTAAAGGGGATTCCGGGACATCCTTCTCTGCATAGCTTTCTTCTTGTAGGTATTCTGTAATGCAAACCTTATTTTCCTTGCCTCCCCACAACCCCGACTTTGTTTCTTCAGCTCAGCAGAACTGCTGGGCTCTGTTTGGTTTCCTCTTGCCCTGTGCTTCAGTTGGCACAAGCCTCTCCATCCAAAGCCTTGGGGATAGCCGTCCCCCTGAAAATAGTTGTTTTCTATGTTTTGTTGAGCTTTCTAGTTGTTTATAGCAAACAGATAATTCTGGATCCTGTTACTTCCTTGTGGTCAGAGGTAGACAATCTGTAATCGACACCTTTAAATCTTTGTTTGGACTTTCAGTAGCTTTTGGCATGGTCAGGCACTACCTTCTTGTCCTACATGACATCATTTCTTAAATACTGATGGCTTCCGGGGATCTGTTTTCTTCTTGACCCTATTTCTTCTTTGACTTTTTTTCATGATTTTGTCCCCTCTCATGTCTTCAGGCTCCATCTCTGTGTTGATGACACCAAAAATAATATTTTCAACTCAGATCTCTTTTGGGATTCATAAATACATTTGTTTATGGGAAGTCTCCATGTGGGTGGGTTAGCTTAGACCCATCATATTTCCCTCCAAACTGTTTTTCTCTGGTGTTTGTTAGCTTGGTAAATGACATTACCATCTACTAATTTGCTTAAGCTAAAGGTTTAAGAGACGTACTCAACTCCTCTCCATCACCACTCCCTGTTTCATCAGAACCACTTCCATATTGATTATGCCTTTTTAATATGTTGAATAGCTTATCTTCTATCCATCCTTACTGTCAGGATTATGTTCTGTGCTACTATATATTGAATCAGCTCCTAACTAGTTTCCCTGTTTTACTGTTGTTGAAACTCATACTGTTACATATTCCAGGGGAAGTGATCTTTGTAAACTAGAGCTCCTGAAGATGGTTCAGAAGACTTTTTAAATCTGACCTGGCTCACCTCTCCATTCGGATCATTTTTACTTGATTCATATTGAATTATTTTTGGTCATTTGTATGTGAAGAAGCCCCATTTGTACTGTATTATGTTTGGTCTCTCAGGTAAACCATGCCTAGTCTCTCTAATCTCTTTGCTTCTAGATACCTGCACATGCCATGCTTGTGGATATTTTTTTTTAAATAAAAGGGAAAAAGTAAAGAAAAGAAAAGCAAAAATAAGAAGACATTTCTGTATGGCAAATGCTCAAATAAACCATAAAACGAAAACGTCATAAGTGAAGTTAAACTACAAGTGAAAAATATGTCCAAACTAAACAAAGACTATTTTCTCTTGTATACAGATTTTTTAAAAAAGAACAAAAGTCCAGGAGAAATGGCAGCGAACACAACTAGATGGTTTAGTTATGTAATTGTACTAGGAGGTGCTCAGCCTCACTCGTAATAGGAGAAATGCAAATTAAATCTACTCTGAGTTACAAGTTTTCACCTAACATACTGACTGAAATTCAAATATTTGGTTAAATACTCTGTTGGTTAAACTGTAGGAAAAGAGGCTTTCTCATATATTACTGGTAGGAGAATAAATTGGTACAGATCACCTGGAGGCAATTTGCTACTAGCAATATACAAGTATGCTTATCTAATGTGCAATTATAGTAGATAAAATATAATGTAACCAATAATTTTAATAATTACAATAATAGTTATATACTTATATATGTAATACTTATAATAGTAATATTATTAGTCATATATACGTTATTAAGTTTATATTATGAGATGATTATACTTATATATACTTATTTATGTATACTTCTGTCTTTGTGTGTTTTCATTTGATCTCACAGTTTTACTTCTGGGAATTTATCCTACGGATATACTAATATGTATGTAACTTAATTTCTGTATAAGTTTATTCATCACAGTGTTGTTTATAATAGCAAAAGGGAATCTAGATATTCATAAATAAGGAATTAGTGAGTAAGAGATGCTACATCTTTGCAATAAAGTAGTATGTCAGAAAAACGAGGATGCCTTCTATGTACTTACGTTGTAGAGACCTTCAACATAAAGTTATATATTGTTAAGTGAAAATAGCAAAGTGTATAACAGTGTGGATAAAAAAGAGTGTGTGAAAAATGCTGTCTGTTAAGAAGAGGGAGAAATAAAAACACTCATATTTGTTGTATAAAGATTTCACAAGAAGCTAAATAAAAGTGGTTATTAGGTGTTTCTGGACAGAGAAGAAAAGGAAGGAGATTATTTACTATGTACTTTTTATATTTGAGTTTTGAATCATATAAAATTGCCTCTTTAAAGTGAAATTAAAATTTTTATTCAAGGTCTTAAGGAAATTTTTTTTTGTCTTTTTGTCACCAGTAAGCTAAAAAAGCTGAGTGAAGACAGTTTGACTAAGCAGCCCGAAGAAGTTTTTGATGTATTAGAAAAACTTGGGGAAGGGTAAGTACAAAAATTATGAAAGTAGCATTTAGATAATGACAGGACAATTATAAAGATAAAATACTATATAATGTTAATCTTTCACTAGGATATATTTGCTTGAATCGAACAGTAGTTGTATAGAGGGAACATACCTCAATACAATAAAGGCCATATATGACAAGCCCACAGTTAATGGTGAAAAGCTGAAAGCTTTTCTTCTAAGATCAGGAATAAGACATGGATGCCCGCTATGGCCAATTTTGTTCAACATAGTACTGGAAGACCTAGCCAGAGCAGTTAGGTAAGAAAAAGAGATACAAAGCATCCAGATCAGACAGGAAGAAGTAAAACTGTCTCTGTTTGTAGATAACGTAATATTATATAGAGATTCCACCAAAAACTATTAGAATTAATAAACAAATTCAGTAAAGTTGAAGAATATAAATTAATATACAAAAACCAGTTGCATATTGATTGATTGATTGATTGATTGATTTTAGAGAGAAGGGAAAGAGGGGGAAGAGACAGAAGGAGTGCGGAAGAAATGTCAATGTGAGAGAAAATTTGATTGGTTGTCTTTCATAGGCACTTGGCCAGGGACCAAATCTGCAACTCAGGCATGTGCCCTGACAGGGAATTGAACCAGTGACCTTTTTGATTTGTAGGGTGACTCTCAACCAATTGAGCCACACTTGCTGCAAGTTGCATCTTTATAATAATAGACTATCAGAAAGAGAAATTAAGAAAACAATCCCATTTACAATTGCATCAAAAAGAATAAAATATGTAGGAATAAATTTAACCAGGATGGCAAAAAATCTGGACACTGAAGACTATAAGACGTTGATGAATAAAATTGAAGAAGACTCAAAAAATGGAAAGATACAGAGCGGACTCCCCCCCCAAAAAAAAACGGAATTATCCTCTGGAGGGTGGGCCCCTCGTTGTACAGGCTTCCCCCACAGTGAGTGTTCTAGGAACCCATTTGTATCAGTGCACCAGCTGGCGTTGTTGTGAGAGGCTGCTTCAGCTTTAGGGAAAATTTTGAAGGTTCTCTCCAAGTGTTTGCTCATTTCATGATGGGTGATTTACAGGTGAACCCGACCACACCAGCTGCCGAGTGTTCAGCAGTTTCTGATCAGAAATAACATGACCCCCACGCCCCACCTTTCTTGTTCACCAATCGCACCCTGAGCAATACTTTTTTGTTTCCACAAGTAAAAAAAGTCCTCAAAAGGAAATATTTTGTTGATATGGAAGAGGTGAAACAAAAAACAGCAAAAGCACTAAGAGGCATCAAAATCGAAGAGTTCAAAACTATTTTGAGCGATAGATAAAATGCCTTAATAGGTATATTGTATCAAATGGAGAATACTTTTTAGAAAAACATTTCTTTCTTTATTTTTTAGAGAGCGGGGAAGGGAAGGAGAAAGAGTGGGAAAGAAACATCAATGTGTGGTTGCCTTTCATGTGTGGTTGCCTGCAACCCAGGCATGTGCCCTGACTCGGAATCGAACCCACAACCCTTTGCTTCACAGGCCCTTGCTCAATCCACTGAGCTACACCAGCCAGGTTAAATGGAGAATACTTTGAAGGTGACTGCAATTTAAACATGTAAGAATAAATACACAATTTTTCATAAATAAATTCTTTGTTTTTATGGGTCTCCTTTTATATTCTGTGCACGTGGATTGAGAGAATTAATATGTTAAAATGTCCATACTACGTAAAGCAATCTACAGATTCAGTGCAATCCCTATCAATATCCCAGTGGCATTTTTTACAGAAGTAGAACAAAGAATCCTAAAGTTTATATGGAACTATAAAAGACCACTAAAGCCAAAGCAATCTTGAGAAAAAAAGAACCAAGTCGGAAGCATCACACTCTTGATTTCAAACTCTATTGCAAAGATATAGTAATCAAAGCAGTGTGGTATTGGTATTAAAACAGACACATAGACTAGAGAGCCCCAAAATAAACCAGTGCATATGTAGTTTATTTTCCTCTGTCATAAATTAATAAATTAATAATTTATGACAGGGGAAACAAGAATATACAACTGGGAAAGGGTAGTCTCTTCAGTAAATGGTGTTCAGAAAACTGGACAGCTACATAAGATAGACTGATACTGGACCCCTATCTTATACCATATATAAACAACAACTCCAAATGAATTAAAGTCTTGAATGTAAGACCTGAAACCCGTAAACTCCTAGAAGAAAAGAGAGGTGGTAAGTAAGCTAAGTAAGCTCCTTGACATCTGTCTTGGCAGTGAGTTTTTGGATTTGACATAAGAAATGAAGACAACAAAAGAAAAAATAAACAAGTGGGATGACATTAAACTAAGCAGCTCTGTGCAGCATAGGAAACCATCAATGAAAGGTCAGCATGTGGAATGGGAGGAAATATTTGCAAGTCATATATCTGAGAAGGGGTTATTATCCAAAGTACATAAAGAACTCATACAGCTCAATAGGAAAGACCAAACATTCCAGGAACTGAATAGAAATTTTTCCAAAGATGACATACAAATGGCCAAAAGGGAAATGCAAATCAAAACCATAATGAGGTATCAGCTCACACTTGTTAGAATAGCTATCATCAAAAAGACAAAATATGAATAAATGTGACTACATCAACCTAAAATGTTTTTGCACAGCAAGAGAAACATTAAAAAAAACCCCAAAACAAAAAACCACACACCAAAAAAAAATGAAGAGAAAATCTGCGAAAGGGGAGGACATATTCACCAGCGATACGGTTGTCTACACGAGTGAACCGGCAGGCTCACTCCCAGCTGGTTGAGGTGACACACCGAGACTGGAAGTGTTGGTCTTACATCTATATCACTAAATGTCTTTCTCCCTGGAAAACTTGGAATCCATTGCCAGACATTTTCTTTAAAGTTTTACTGGTAGAAACTGACAAAAATCTGACAACTTTTTTGGTGTGAATAGTAGGTGCTTTTCACTTGGATTTTGTATTCATCCCCTGGTTCCTGTGGAGATTTGAGTATAATTATAGAAGCAGTGAGTGATGATTGTGGGGTGATACGGAAGAGAATCTATTGATACATTCCCTTGAAAAGTTACTGTTTCAGCTGAGGACATTATAGAATCTTTAGGCATTATGAGGCTGATCTTCTCAGGCTGGGCGGTAGAGCTGCTTTTGATGCCAAGGGAGGCCTGCTAGATTTTAGGGGTTCAGGGTACTCAGGTTAATGATAATCTACCTAAATGTCCCCAAACTAACTCTGTGGATGCCTCTCTTTATAATTAAAAATCTGACATTATCCTAATTGATTTGGTGATGGTGTGAATTCTGTTTGCAATGTAATTCAGCTTCCAGCAAGCTTAGACTTTGAGTTTTGTTTTCAGAAGTCTCATTACAGTGCCTATAAGAATTAAGAAATTCTTGGACTTCTGGGAGAGATGACAGCATAGGTAAACATAGCTTATATCTTTGCACAACCACATCAAAATTACAGCTGTAGAACAACGAACTGGCACTCAGAACTGTCAGAAATGGAGCTGAATGGAATTCTGACAACTATGGAATTAAAGAAACCACATCCATCCAGACTGGTAGAAGGGGCAGAAACGCAGAACAGGCTGGTCCCACATCCACCTGTGGAGCATAAGAATTCGGGAGGAATATCTTAGGAGCAAGGAGTCCCAGCCCCACACCAGGCAATACAGCCCAGGGTTTCAGTGTCAGGAAGGAAAGTCTCCATAACTCCTTGCTACAAAATGAGCAGGGATTGAGTTGGTAGCAGGAATTTCTGGAGTCCCAAACAGCTCCTCTTAAAGAACCCACACATGAACTTGCTCAGATTCACTCCCTCTGAGCTCCAGCACTAGGATAGCAGCTTGAAAGGCAGCCGTGGTATACAGGGAGGAACTTAAGTGTGTGACATCAAGGCGACAGCTGGGGGACAGCTTTCTCCCAGACAGAAAGGTGGGTGGAGACCACTGTCCCTTTTCTGAGTCCCTGACCCACCACAGAGCCACAGACCTGACAGGCAGGTATCATATTTGAGACTCAGCCTGGCTTGGAGATCCCCTGAGACTCTCTCCTACCTGACTGATGAGACTCTGTCCTACCCAACTTACAGGCCCACCCAAGCTCTTAACAGTGACCTTTCCAAATGAATAATTGATTGGTCTTGGCTCATGCTTCACAACTTGCTATATACTCTCAAACAAGTAAAAGCCTAGCCTCAGCGAGCCCCAAGCCCTGTACCTCTTGCTATGTTCCCCCAGGCCCAGCCCTAGCAGCAGCCAGCCTAGACTGACAGCTTGGCTTCGCCCAAGAATCTCCAAGCCCAGCACAAGTAGCAGCCATCTCAGATTGCTTTATAGCTCAGGCAGGGTGGCCCTGGGAAGAAAACAGGTCAGGGCTGACCTTGGCCCTGCACCACCTGGGAGACCCAAGAGCCTGTGCACACAGTGGACGGCTGTAGACCACATCAGAGCACCACCCACTCTGACCCTGCACAGCTGATACTTCACAGAGAGTGGAGGTTGGTAGTCACTGTTTTTGTAGCCAGTCCTTGCAGCAGATTCGTCTGGGTAAATCCCTGCTATTGATTTATAGGCTCAATTATAAGAGGAGGGTGTATTCAGCCCATACTGGAAATAGAAATGCAGGTCCAGGAAACAGAGAATCTCAAACAAGATGGATTGAAAGAGGCCTACTCCAAAACACATAATAATTAAAATGCCAAAGGTTAAAGATAGAAAATCTTAAAAGCAACAAGAGAAGCAGTTAGTTACTTACAGGGGAGTTCCCATAAGATTGTCAGCTGATTTCTCAAACGAAACTTTGCAGGCTAGAGGAATTGGTAAGAAGTATTCAAAGTCATGAAAAGCAGGGACCTACAGCCAAGATTGGTCTACCCAGCAAAGCCATTATTTAGAATTGAAGGGCAGATAAAGAGCTTCCCATACAAGAAAAAACTAGAGGAGTTCGTCATCACCAAACCATTATTATATGAAATGTTAAAGGAAGTTATTTAAGAAGATCAAAACTATGAACAATAAAATGGCAAAAATGCATATCTGTCAACAATTGAATCCAAAAAACAAACTAAGCAAACAAGAACCGAGACAGAATCATGGATACAGAGAGCATTTTCATGGTTGCCAGATAGGAAGGAGGTGTGGAGGAATGGGTATAGAGGTGAGGAGATTAAGCAATACAAATATATAGTTACAATAAGTGTAACTATAGCTATGTGAGTGTGCAGTACAGCACAGAAAATTGAGTAGCCAAGGAACCGACACACATGACCTATGGATATAAACAAAGGTGTGCGTATTGCCTGAGGGCGTGGGGAATGCTGGGTGGAAGGGGCAAAAGGGAGAGAGAGGGAAATTCTTTTGGGACATTCAGAAGTTTTTTAGTTATCTCAGTCCTAAGTTGGGAATTTAAGCCCTGGGCTTATTATATTTGTTATATAACTTTCACAGTGTAGGCCAGGTAGTCAACCCATTCTGTTGTCCTTGTAGTTTTATTTTACTATAGCATTCTGTTGATACAGATAGTTGATCTTCTAAAATCTTGCCTAGACTCCAGGAACCCATGGGTAATAATTTAAGTAATTGTTTTGCCATTGAATGCCATAAACTGTGAATTTTCTGTTTGTCTATTTCATTATTAAAGTGATTACTCTTTTTAAATCTAAGAAAGAACTAATGCAAGATTCCCATTTTTAACATTCTTTCCCCTGGGACCACTTCCTGTACCAAAAACTATTGGTAGCTATGCTTGGTCTGGGAAAGAAAGGCTACTTTGTGTACTCTGGGTATAAAGAGTTTATTATAAAATTAGGAGCTCAAATGACTCGTGGTAGCACCATAGATGCAAAGGTCATGGAATCTGCTGCTGAAGGTCAGAAAAGCCAGTGCTGAAGATCTCAGCCTGAAGTACTGAAGTAGGTGTTACTCAAAAGCTCACTAGGGATCTTCTGAGAATCTTTGAGATGCTCCCACCAACCATCTCAGGACACAGTAGCAGTATGGTGGTTATCAAAAGCTCAGCAGGAATCCACCGTCTCTCATATCTGCCATTGCACCCACCACATCTGGAAAGGGATGGTTTCTCCTCAACTTTTTGCCATTTAGATTTCATGCATGTTCTCCTCATTGTCAGCTCCCAACTGGGATCCATTTAGGGAAGGGAATTCTAGTAAATGTGGTTCCCAGCTTCACTTTATCAGTGACAGGATGTTAGAAGAGTTGCTTAATTTACAACAGACAATCTAGAACTTAATTCTGTTAGCTTTTGAGGATATATATAGTTTTTCCAGAAAAAGTAGAGCCATCGTCAATATAACGAGAACAGTTTGCACGATATCAATGTAACCTGGTGGCCAGGGAGAGTGGGCTGGAGTGCACGTGTGGAACAATGACTTCACTGTACTAGTCAGTGGGGGCAGTAGACGCTGCTGAGTGAGCATGTGTACTGTGTGGCCGTTACATTCAAAATGACTGAGTAGAACAGTGAGTCTGCATCGATTTTTCTGTTAAGCTTGAACATTCCTCTGCAGAAACTGTTCAGATGATTCAGAGGGCTGCAGCTTGTGGGCAACTGGTGGTTGGTAGCTTCATCACACTAACATGGCCACTCACACATCATGACTGGTGCAGTTTTCGATGAAACATCAAATCACCCAAGTGACTCAGTCCCCCTACAGCCTAGATTTGGTGCTCTGTGACTTCTGGCTTTTCCCAGAACTAAAATCACCTTCAAAAGGGCAGAGATTTCAGACTGTCAGTGAGATTCAGGAAAATACAATGGGTCAGCAGATGGCAATTGAGAGAACTGTGTGAGGTCCCAAGGTGCCTGCTTTAAGGGGACTGAGGCATCATTGTCCTGTGGACACTGTTTCTTGTATCTTGTATCATCTGCAGTAAATGTCTCAGTTTTTCATATTATATGGGCGGATACCTTCTGGACAGACCTCGCATACTTACACACCCATGCATATATTTGCATATATATGGCTTTTAAGGAGCGATTGTCTGTGTGTGTGTGTGTGTGTGTGTAAATTAGGACTATTGCTCTGGTTGGTGTAGCTCAGTGGGTTGAGCTTCAGCTTGCTAACCGAAAGGTTGTCGGTTCCATTCCTGGCCAGGGCACATAACTGAGTTGTGGGCCAGGTCCCCAGTTGAGGGCATGTGAGAGGCAACCATTTGATGTTTCTCTCCCTTTCTTTCTCGCTCCCTTCCCTGCTCTCTAAAAATAAAATAAATAAAATCTTTTAAATTAGGACTATATACACATACATCTGACTTTGGGTAGCAAAGTCAGTTAAAGTGACAGCAGTTTTTAGCTTGTCTTCTAATTCATACCAAAGTATAAGCAGCTTCCCTCTCTCATTGTTTTTGCTTTTTAAAAAATACATATATATTTAATTGGCAAAGTTTCAAGTGTTGTAACAGAGGTAGTTTGGGGGCAAATGGCCATAAGACCCCATTTCTCATTTTATTCACATGTGAGTATGCGGTCTTCCTCTTGAGGTGGTAGTGAAAAGAGCATGTGAGGCTACCTGGGATCTGGGACTGAGGGGGGGACCACATTTCCTGCTTCTCTAACTTTGTGTCATGTGGTCCCAGCTGGGGGTTCATTTGTCCTTAAGGCGCCTGAACAGGCAGAGGGACTTTAGTATTTTGGGGATGATTTTGCTTAAGGTAAGATCAGCCCTTGTTCCTACCTTGACACTTTGGCTGTTTTTATTCTGTATTTTATTCTTTTTATTTCAATTTATATATCCTTAATGCTATTTTTGTTTGAGTTAACAAAATGTAAGTCTGTTTCTTCCATTCATAAGAAAAACAACAAATCTTTTTATATTAACTTGATGATTTTAATAGATTTTAAGTTAATACTTGAAGCATTAAAGCTAAGGGGTAACTCAACTTTTCTTATTATTTGTTTACTTTGTTTTGTCGCCATTAACTTGTGTTTTAAACTGGAAAAGACTACATGCAAAAACGCATTGTATACTCTTTAATAGTTATGATGTTTGAAAGAAAAAATAAATGTTTTGGGTTTTTTTTTTAGGTCTTATGGAAGTGTATTTAAAGCCATACATAAGGAATCTGGTCAAGTTGTGGCAATTAAACAGGTACCTGTTGAGTCAGATCTTCAGGAAATAATCAAAGAAATTTCTATAATGCAGCAGTGTGACAGGTATGAAGAGGTTTTAGTTCTCTATTTGCCTTCATTTGGATGTATTTTGCTAATAATGTATGCTAGAATGTTTCATCTGGTTATCTGTTCAGTTTTCTGGCTTCCCCTTAGAAGATGAGGGCAGCTTTGCAGGGCTGTCTTGGGCCAAAGTCATGTTATGAAGCAATGTGTGGTGATAGAAAATACTCCCTTTTCCCATTTTCAGGGCAAGTTCATGTGCGAACATTAGTTTTTGATTTTTAAGGGGTGGTCATTTAACAGTATTTTTTGTAGAACTTTTTGCTGATTAAAAGCAATTCTGTGTACTATGCCAGGATCTAGGAATACCAAGACAACTGAGGTACTGTTTTTCCTTTTCAGGGGCTGGCTGGTAATGTAGTTGAGAAGACAGATACAAATAAACAGCCGTAATAAGCTTGGTCACTGTACTGACTGGTGCCGGGGCTGATGTGAGAACAGGAAGTCAGGGTACCTACCTCAGCCAGAAAGTCTGGAATGCTGAGGAAGAGTTAAGTTAGTAAAGAAATGGAGGGATGAGAGAGAGTAAAAGAATTAATTAGGAGCAGAGAAGTGGGAAACGCTCACTGGTGTTTTGACAGGTTTAGAATCACTGGAGTGGAAAGCATGAGGTAGACTTGTGTGCACTGACTTTGGATAGTAAATGGAGCTAATCAGGAAGGGACTTACTGTGCCCTGTTAAGTAGCCCAGTTTCCATAAGGGCTGTAGAGTTTATAAATTAGGACTCTATTTAGCCTATGGTTACTTAATCAAAGAGGGACTTACTATTCTCTCTTTAGGAAAGGTCTAGAGATAGGGCTGATGTAACAGCTGTCTTAGGCCTTTTTCCTTAAACTGTGCCCTTCTTAGCCTATGGCCTTTGTTCTCATGTTTATTATCTCATGTTTATAAGTGGGCTGCTCCAGCTCCAGCCTTATTGTCTATATTCCAGGCATCAGGGAGAAGGGAAGAAGCAGGAAAGGGCTTTCCCAGAAGCCCCCCCAATTAACGTTTTATTTATCACAGTTAACACATAGTGGCAGAACTGGTCACTAGAGGAGTCTGGACACATGGTCTTCCCCAATCAAATAGGGCCCTGTTAATAAGAGATCTATGGAAAACTTCCTCTTCCAACAGTATATAAGATTCATATAAGCTCTTTGGCTCATGAAATGACTGAATAATCTTAGAGCAACTTTCTTGCTTGGGTTTGTTTAATTTTGCTTTATTTTGTGTTATATATTTAGATTATGTTACATATTTCCCTTTAAGGCTGTATAACTGGAAATTCAAGTGGTTATGAAAAACAATACATTAAAAATTTCTCAGTTCCCAGATCAAAAAACATAATTATAGAATTTCCTCAGACCTTTCTATTAATTTGGTAACTGGATAAGAATGTGGTTCACACAGTTTGCTGTAGAAAAGAAGATTGAGCATAGCATAATGCTGGGCCCATCAGGGGCTTAATACTTGCATAATGCTAGGTTTTTTGGTGGAGCACCTAAATATATATGTTTAGTTCTTAATACATCAGTTTAAAAAAAACTGGTCATTTTTCCCTTTGTAAGTCTTCCAAAAACAACTTGGCTATAAACACAGTTTACTCTGTGCTGAATCTCAGTTTAGAATAGTTTAAATTGTTAATAATTTTAATTATCTGAATTTAAAGCAAAATATTACTTTTCTCCAGAATTTTCAAAGGCCAAAAATGAAAGAGAATTAAAACATTTTGGCCTCATTGAAATATAAAGTATTGTAATGTTGAATGTTCATATTTGACTGAATGAAAATCCTTTAAGAGATTTATATTTAGAATGCTTTAGTTAAAAAATATATTTTCATTTGTTTCTTATGTTTAAGTAGTAGGTCTTTAGCAGAACAAAGGCTTAGTTTCTTGGGAATTACTGAAAACATCTGGGCCTGTGGTTTATAAACCTGTTAAATTTATCCCTGGCTGGTGTAGCTCAGTGGATTGAGCGCAGGCCTATGAACCAGAGGCCTGTGAACCAGAGGATCCCGGTTCAATTCCCATTCAGGATACATGTCTGGGTTGCAGGCCAGTTCCCAGCAGGGGATGCATGAGAGGCAACCATACATTGATGTTTCTCTCCCTCTCTCCTTCCCTTCCCCTCTAAAGATAAATAAATAAAATCTTTTAAAAAATTTATCCATGACTTAAATAATTATACACAGTTGGTGAGCCCTACATATAGACAATTCAGTGTGCAGTAGGAATTTAGTCATTAAGTTTACTTACTGGGACATTTTGGAATGTTGACATAATGTGCCCAATACTCTGTATTGGGATTAAGAAATAATTTTCTGTGGGAATACCGAAGTTGATCGTCGGCATCTCTTTCTGCAGCCCGTATGTTGTAAAGTACTATGGCAGTTACTTTAAGAACACAGACCTCTGGATTGTTATGGAGTACTGTGGAGCTGGCTCTGTCTCGGACATAATCAGATTACGAAACAAGACAGTAAGTATTTAAAATTTCATTTCTAAAGATTCATAAGTAGAATCTGACTAGGTAGTATATTGTTACAAGGAAAATACTAGTGTGAAAAAAAGAAAGGTTTTAGACTGTAAAGGGATCTGAGGTATGAGAATGAGTCACATGTCTTTGTATGGCCAGTTTAGGAGTCATGTGATTGTTTAATTTATATATTGGGATACTTTTTGGTAAGTCACCAAGAAACTACCATCGTATTCCTCTTTTACATTGTAAATCATTGTGCATATTCTTTATTAATTGAGTTTAGTAAGTTATGGCAAGAGTTTTATTTAAAATTCATAGTATTCATGGCATTTCTTTAGTTGTTTGTATTATAATCTGTGGCTAGTAAACGGTTGAAGTTTTTTGTTTCTAAATTTTAAAAATGATTGAAAAATAATTTTTGTCATTATTTTCCCAAATATTATCAGGATATTTGAAAGTGATAAGAGCTAGAATGCAATTTTGTAAGAATTTTTGTGAATTCAGCTCATTGAAAGCTATTCTAATCATAACTTTTTATGGTTATGTTTTAACCTTAAGCAAAAGAGCTATCTATTTACAAAATTGTTTACTTTCAGCTAGCAGTATCTCTCGTTTTCTTGGATAATTTATAAAGACAAGAATGTCCTTTTTATTTGTGAATGACTAAGAATAAGAATCAGTGAAAAGATGTGTAATTCTGTAAAACAGTAACCCAATTACCATATGACATTATTGTATGTTGTCAGACATGTTTGAGTAAAATGCATTCAGAAAAATACTTAACTATACTTGAGTCAATTTGTGGTTAACCAGAATCGTTTTAAAGTTTGATTGGGGATGTAAGTTGTAAGTTTATTCTACTAATTTTTTCTTCTGTTAGAGAAACTAAATAGGATTTCTTTAAAGGAAGTGAAACATAAGTTTATATAATCTCTGTTTTGGCAGAATGGTTTAAGTGATTTGTGATGTTCTGGTTAAATATTTGAGAATTTCTGTGGTGCTTAACTAGCATTTATGTAAATCAGATGACTTTTGAGTAGCAGAACAATGCTTTAATTGAACGGAATTATACTTCAGTTAGAGATGTGTTTTAAAACTATTTTAGGGATAAACTCAGCACATTTGATGTTTAAAATTACTAGGTAGACATATGAAGTAAAAGTGTGGGAAATGGAAAATCAGTTTTTTTTTGTTTTAAGTGTTAATGTTACAGTTTTGAGTAGCTGGAAAGTATTTGATCTAAGTACTCTATTTCTTGTTAATAATTACAAAGTTCTGTGAGATGAGTATGGATGGGGTCCTTATCCTTTGGAATCTCATTCACCAGGACAATTTTAGTTTACATGCATTGTTTTATAGAAGACAGGACCTCCTGAACCTGGTGGGGAGTCATGCATTGGCAGTGGTCTAATTGCTCTTCTCATAGAACAGTAATCTTTGGGCATGGAAGGCTCCAATTCACAGATGTGAAAAAGAACCCAGGGCTGCATGAGATGGATCAGGAGCTGCAAGTCGTTATCTCTGGGTGTCACTTTGATAACAGCTCCTGTGAAATCTCAAAGTTATTTGTTGTTCTATTTTTCCATCATTATTTATTATCTAAAAGGAGTACCCTAGTTCTGAAGGTTAGAAATATGCAGATATGTATCATCGCATTAAAAATGCCTTGACATTGTAAGTGTTTGATCATTTTATAGGACTCTTCACTGAAGTGGTAACCTTGATTGTCTGAATTTCAGAGTCATGGCTGTTACTGATTATATGGCTTTCAAAAATGTGACCAGTGAAACAGTTGTCCTTAACTATTAAAACTCACTCTAGTAGTTACTGTTTTGTGGTCACAGAGCAATCAATCACTTCCTACGAGTATGGGAACCTTTTTTTTTAGGGTTTCTTTGCTTTTTTTTTCTTATATAATTTGTTGTTTCTTTGAATTTTATATACATTTTAAACAGCACAAGGCATTCTTATTTTTTTATATTGTCAGTGTTTATATTTACTTGTATATCATATTACTCTTTTTATTGCTCTTTATTCTTTTCTGCATTTCTCAGTTGCCTGAAGAACACTGTCCTTCAATGTTTCCTTATGTGTGGGCATGATGGTGATAAGACCTCAGATTTTTATATATGAAAATGTTATTTCACTTCATTTTTGAACAATATATTTGCTGGTTAAAGAACTCTAGGTTGGCAGTTTCCTTAAGGTATTTGGTTTGTTTTGAGAGGAATGACTTGGAAAACCGCTTAAGTTACCTACTTTTTGTAGAATTATGCTTCTTTTTGAAAAAAAATTTCATTAAGGATGAAGTATTCTTGATTAATTATAAATTGCTATGTGTTTTTGATCAAATGTTTTTTTGAAAATTAAAGACACAGGAAAAAACAAATTTGGTTAAGTTACATAGGTATTTTTTTTAACTTCATAGAACATTATTTATTTCCAGATAATTTACATAAAAAGAACTATAAATCAATATAAATCACCCTTACATAAGATATTCAACCTGACTCACAAAAAATAAATGCAAATTAAAAGGTCATTTATAGTAAGTGCCATTGTGTTTAAAAAGCATTGGAGTTTGACCTCTTTAGTCTGAAGTACAGTACTATTTATATCTTCTTTCTATCTGTATAGTTTCATAACCTGTCCCTTATATTATGCACTTTAGATTCCAGCTTCACAATAAGAGCTGCTTCCTGGAATTAAAAATTGGATTCATGTTTTGTTGTTTTTGTTAATGATACTGCCTCATTCTCTCCCCCACGTTTGAGTCATCCTCCCCATACTTCCTGTCTTTGCCTTAGTGAGTTCGCATCCATGAAGGACCAGCTCAAAGTTCACCTCCTATTTTCCCAGGGAGTTTCATATGTATTTGATAATTGTTTGATTAATTAGTTATGTAAATCTTTATTGCATCTTCATTCTTAAAGAACATAACTTTTTAGCTGCTCTTGTTATTATAATTTTTACTATTATTATTTTACATATTTTGACAGCCTGGTAGACTGGGCATCTTTTCATATGTGAATTGGTTCTTTTATTTCCTCTTTATACCTATCTTTTGCCTTTTATTGTTGGTGGTGGTGCTGTTTTTATTATCAGTTTGCAGGGCTGCCTGACAGTTTGCTAGTAGTTATGTGAACATTTCACATATTTAAAAAGTCATAAAACCAATCATCTGATTACCTGCATAGATATTAAAGAAGGAGCTTCAGAATATATCTTTCAGAGGTTTTATGCCCTGATCTGTACTTTTACTGTGGGAAATACCTAGGAAAAGACAAAGGCATAGAATTAAGTTTGGGTGTTAATGAAGCATATTTCAGTGATTGGAAGTGAGGCTCAGTAGCAAAGGGCGGGTATTGGGTCTATTTGAGTGCTGCTACTTACCATGGGGCAGATCACAGAGTCGGCATTTGATCTGGGTAATGAATAGTAATTGTGATAATTAATGTTAGTAGTACCAGAGATGGAATGAAGGTGAAACTCTCCCATATTTCAGTGGGTGATAAAAGTTTTGTGGTAGGCAGTTAGGCATTAGCAACACAAGGACAATTGGCAGGTACAGAAGGCAGAAAGCCCCATGTACCTAGCACAACAGGTAGAACTGGGAAAACAAGGACTCGGCCCCCAAGGTGATTTTTCCTCCCCTGACCTTTCATATCATTGGTCATACCTTTCTAATCCTTCCCCGACCCTTTCTTCCCCTGGCATGTTGGTAGTCATGTGGGTTAGGCCCCACCCCCACCCACCACATAAGAAGGGGAATGAACTAGGGGGCTAGAGAATAACCCTTAAGCAGACCTGCATCAAATACATCTAGGCCTCAACTGTGTTTTAGGTCCAGCCCCAGAAAGGCAGCAAAGCCAGACAAGTGATGCCATGGCTGATATCAGGACCAGCTGCATTGACTAATGCCCCCTACCCTGGCTCCAACCAATCAGTAGAGACCATGACCTGAAGGACACACCTGGAAAGCTGATGAATATTCTACTGGGGACCTCCAGATAAATACCTTCAAGAGGAGGACCCAGTGTCGCTCCTTTATGGAGCACACCCTGCCCTTTCCCCACTCCCTTCCCCCAGGCCAGTTTTCTGGCCGTTTTTTCTCCTAAGCTCCAAGGGCCCTTCTTTGGCCTCTGTAACTTGTTTCCTCAGCCCATGTCTTTCACAGCTCACTTCTACTGCCGTGACATTCTAGATACTTTTTCTTACAGTTTGAGTCTTGACTTTGAATTCTTTCTTGGCCAGAACTCAAGTAGTGAGGTTGCTGAACCAAGTTCTGACACCTGGTGCTGTTTCACTGTAGGTTCTCTGGGTCTCCTAAATGTTGCATTATGAGTAAAAATCACTAGTTAGTATTCCTTGACTCTCATTTATAAGTATTGGGGGATCTATACATAAATATATGTGAGTTAATCTCCTCAGACTCACAAACACAGATGAAGTCCTTGTATCATATACATTACTTTTTTTGCATTATTTTTTTTCACCTTTTTATTTTATTGAATTTTAGAAAGAGAGAGAGAGTGAAACAGCAATTTGTTGTTCTACTTATATTGCATTCATTGGTTGATTCTTGTATGTGCCCTGACCAGGGATTGAACCTACAACCTTGGCATATTGGGACAACACTCTACTGGACTACCCAGCCAGGACCTCTTTTTTTTTTTTGACATAATTTTAAACCATCTTTTAAGTGGTGGAATCTATGTGTAGGTAACCCTGCTGTGGTATCCTGTAGTTGGAAATCACATTTAATTAGTCATCTCTTAGGATTCGGGAGAAGAGAAATTTCAGTTGCCTTCCCCTACTTTAAGCCACACAAGGGCAGAAATTTTTACATATTCATCTTGGAAACATTCAGAGTGCCTGGAACAGCTACAGCGTCAAGCAAACCCTTGATGACAAATGTTTGTTTAACTAAACCAGGATCGATTCCTTAGCTGCTTATACTGTGAATATAAAAGAACTTTACCCATCTAGTGTTATATTTT